AAAACAGCTGCTTGACAGCCACAGGTGTGTTTGCATAATACAGGAATAAACAAGTCCTGAATATATTTATGTACAAAATAAAAATCACTGTATAGAAATTAGAAACAATTTCTTTTTTTCAAGAAAAGGATAATTCATGACAATTATTGTGTTCCACAGTGAGACACGGATCCACAACCTTCCCGGTGCGTGGCTGTGTGACTGAAAATACATGTGTAGCAGCTAAAATCCTGAAAAGCCTACCATTCATGGAACAAGTGGGGAATATCATCAGTGGCCCAGGTTGTTGTGAAGAAGCAACCACCACAACTGAAGCAAAAACCACCACAACGGCTGTAACAACAATAACTGAAGAAGCAACCACCATAACTGCAGCTAAAACCACTACAACTGATGTCCCAACGACAACTGCAGAAGCAACCACCACAACTGAAGCTAAAACCACCACAACTGATGCACCAACAACAACTGAAGAAGCAACCACCACAACTGAAGCAAAAACCACCACAACGGCTGCTCCAACAACAACTAAAGCAAAAACCACCATAACGGCTGCAACAACAACAACTGAAGCAAAAACCACCACAACGGCTGCTCCAACAACAACTAAAGCAAAAACCACCATAACGGCTGCAACAACAACAACTGAAGCAAAAACCACCACAACGGCTGCTCCAACAACAACTGAAGCAAAAACCACCACAACGGCTGCTCCAACAACAACTAAAGCAAAAACCACCATAACGGCTGCAACAACAACAACTGAAGCAAAAACCACCACAACGGCTGCTCCAACAACAACTGAAGCAAAAACCACCACAACGGCTGCTCCAACAACAACTGAAGCAAAAACCACCACAACAGCTGCTCCAACAACAACTGAAGCAAAAACCACCACAACGGCTGCAACAACAACAACTGAAGCAAAAACCACCATAACGGCTGCAACAACAACAACTGAAGCAAAAACCACCACAACGGCTGCTCCAACAACAACTGAAGCAAAAACCACCACAACGGCTGCTCCAACAACAACTGAAGCAAAAACCACCACAACAGCTGCTCCAACAACAACTGAAGCAAAAACCACCACAACGGCTGCAACAACAACAACTGAAGCAAAAACCACCACAACAGCTGCTCCAACAACAACTGAAGCAAAAACCACCACAACGGCTGCAACAACAACTGAAGCAAAAACCACCACAACGGCTGCAACAACAACTGAAGCAAAAACCACAACAACAGCTGCAACAACAACTGAAGCAAAAACCACCATAACGGCTGCAACAACAACAACTGATGAAGCAACCACCACAACTGAAGCTAAAACCACTACAACGGCTGTCCCAACAACTGTAGCACCAACCACCACTACATTACCACTGTCAACAAAAAACAGAGGTCTGTGCTTTGGGTTTTTCATTTACAATTTTAACACATGTAAACTGGATGAAAGTAACCATTTATGATGTTTCTACTGATTACAGGTGGCTCTTTCTATTGTATGGCCTGCACAGATCAGAGGTGTAAGACCACATCACAAAAGACATGTGGCTCAGAGACAATGTGCATTACTGCTTCCATTATAGGTATTTCTCTCTGTTTGTTAGATGATACTTTACAGAAAAAGGCAAAGTCTAACAGCATGAGTTTTTTTTGTCTGTTTTAAACAAAAATAACAAACTCCTTCTGGACTCTACAGCCACTTCATCAGGAACTACAGTCAAAAAAATCTACAAAGATTGTGCACCATCCATCCTGTGTCAAAAGCCAGGCATTGAGATATTTTCAGCCAACTTGGGTTTTTCAAGTGTACGTGCATCTGTAAAATGCTGCAACAATGACAACTGCAACTCACAAAATCTTCCCAGTAAGCATAAATGTCTGAGAATTTTCAAAAGTCCATAGTTGTTTGAAAAATGGCTTAAAACCTCTTTTTTTGTTTCTCAGTTCCTGGATCTCAGTCATCCAACAAACTGCGGTGTATCACTGGTGACCCCAAAACATCCACATGCAACTCAACTGTTTCATGTTTAGGAGAGGACATAGACTGCTTGACAGCCACAGGTTTGTTTTCGTGTTTACAGGATAAACACGTTCCAACTTTATATTCTTACAATGAGGAAAAAATTTAAATCACTGTCTAGAAATTAGAAGCAAATATATGAGAATGCTTTCTAACTCTATTTTTCAATAAAAGAAGGGTTACTGATAAAACTTATAATTTTTCACAGTCCAAAATGGATCCACAAGCTACCCAGTGCGTGGCTGTGTGACTGAAAATACATGTGTAGCAGCTAAATTCCTGCAGAGTCTACCATTCATGGAACAAGTTGGGAACATCCCCAGTGGACCAGGTTGTTGTGGACAAAATGGATGTAACCAGCAAAAACCAACTAAAGCACCAATGACAACAAACAATAGACCAGCCACCATGACTGCTAAACCTTCAAAAAGAACAGAAGAATCTACCACCAGAACTGAAGCGCCGCCAACAATGACTAAAACACCAACCACTAAAACTAAAGACAGAACTACAGCAGCTAAAGTGCCACCTATTCATTTGCAAGTAACTAAATCTCATAGACCAACCACCACAACAACTGAAGAGCCAACTACAACAACCAATGAATCCGCCACTACAATTAAAACACCAACAACAATAACTGAAGTTCCAAAAACAACAAATAATGCACATACCACCACTGGAATATCAAAAACCAAACCTCAAGGTTTAACCACTACAACTAAGAAACCAACTACAGCTGAATTACGAACAACAAAACCAGACGAACCAGCCTCAACAACCAGCGAACGAACAACGGCTGAAGCCCCAACCACCATCCCGTTACCACCACCAACAAAAAACAAAAGTCTGTGCTTTTGATTTTTTTTGTTTTATTTCTCTATTTGTACTATTTGAAGAAAAAAAATACCTCCAAGATCTAAACGTGTTAAGCATAACCATTTCTAATGTTTCTACCTTTTACAGGTGGCTCTTTGCATTGTATGGCCTGCACAGATGACAAGTGTGAAACCACATCAGAAAAGAAATGTGGCTCAGAGACAATGTGTGTTATTGCTTCCATTCAAGGTATGTTTCATTACAAGATGTTTTAGGCAAAAAGGTTGTTATTTTCTAATGTTTTTCTCTGTTTTGAACAAAAATAACAAACTTCTTCTGGACTCTACAGCCACTTCATCAGGAACTACAGAAAACAAAATCTACAGAGATTGTGCACCATCCATCCTGTGTCAAAAGCCAGGCATTCAGCTATTTTCAGCCAACTTGGGTTTTTCAAGCGTACGTGCATCTGTAAAATGCTGCAACAATGACAACTGCAACTCACAAAATCTTCCCAGTACGTATGAATGCATAAAGTTTATAGATATAACTAAGTTTCTGATTAATTCAAAACATTGTTGAATACTTCTTTTCTTGTGTTTTAGTGCCTGGATCTCAGTCATCCAACAAACTGCGGTGTATCGTTTGTGACCCCAAAACTTCCACATGCAACTCAACTGTTTCATGTTTAGGAGAGGAAAACAGCTGCTTGACAGCCACAGGTGTGTTTGCATGTTACAGGAATAAACAAGTCCAGACTATTTCTTCTTACTATGGAGTATAACAAAATAAAAATCACTGTTTAGAAATTAGAATAATTACATGTGAATGCTGTCAAACTAACTTTTTTCTATAAAAAAGTGTTCTTGATGAAAATCATCGCTTTCCACAGTGAAACACGGATCCACAACTTACCCAGTGTGTGGCTGTGTAACTGAAAATACATGTGTAGCAGCAAAAGTCCTGCAAAGTCTACCATTCATGAAACAAGTTGGGAACATCACCAGTGGACCAGGTTGTTGTGGACAAAGTGAGTGTAACCAGCAAAAAACGACTGAAGCACCAATTTCAACAAGTGAAAAACGAGCCACTTCAACTGCTGCACCAACAACTGAAGAACTTACCAGCAGAAGTAAAGCACCAGACACCTCAATTGAAGAGAGAGCAACAGTCTCTAAAGTACCAGTAACTGAAAAGGTAAGACCCAAAACTCCTAGACCAACAACGACAACTAAGGAACAAGCCACCACAACTGATGCACAAACAGCTTTAGCAAGTACAACCACTGCTGAAAAACCTTCAAAAAAACCAACATTATCATCAGCTACCACCACATTACCACCAATAGAAAATACAGGTCTGTGATTTTGTTTTTTTTAATTTGTTTGATTGGTTGTTTTTACTATTTGACAAGATAAATTCCAAAATAAGGTTAAACAAACGTGAACTTGTTGAAAAAAATCATCGCTCTACCTTAACACAAATGTAATATTTACAATGTAAAAAAAAACTTCTAAAAAACACTTCTGTTGTTTCTTCTGACTACAGCTGGATCCTTGCATTGTATGGCCTGCACAGATCAGACGTGTACAACCACAGCATTATCAGAATGTGGCTCAGAGACAATGTGCATTACTGCTTCCATTATAGGTATTCCTCTCTGTTTGTTAGATGATACTTTACAGAAAAGAGCAAAAGTTGAACAGCATAGGTTACCAGTTTTATTATCAACAATAACAAAGTGCCCCTTGACTCTACAGCCACTTCATCAGGAACTACTACTGAAAGAATCTACAAGGGCTGTGCACCATCCCACCTGTGCCAAGTTACAGGCATGCAGAACTTTTCAGCCAACTTGGGTTTCTCAAGCGTCCATGCATCCGCTCTGTGCTGCAACTCTGAGAACTGCAACTCCCAAAGTCTTCCCAGTACGCATAACTGCAATGAGCTTGGACAAGGTTCTGATCGTGGACTATTAAACCTGTCATTTTTTTTACTAAAGCCTTCTTTCCTTGTGTTGTAGTGCCCCAACCTCAGCCTTCCAACAACCTGCAGTGTTTGACTTGTGACCCTCAAACATCTAACTGTAGCACCATGGTAACGTGTTCAGGAGAGGAAAACAGCTGCTTGACAGCCACAGGTTGGTGTTCCTGTTAACTAGATCTCACACACTTGTATTCTTATGGAAACACAACTCTACTCAGTGTCTAAACATTAGAAACAAAAACATTTAAATTCCTTTAAATTGAAATGTATTATCAAAACTAGGGTTATTGATGGAAGCTGTCATTTTTTACAGTGCAAACTGGACCTACAACCTATCCAGTGCATGGCTGTGTGACTAAAAATACATGTGAAGCAGGTAAGAACCTGCAGAGTCTACCTTTCATGGAAAATCTTGGTAACATCACCAGTGGACTAAGCTGTTGCGGACAAACTGGGTGTAACTCTTGGACACCAAATCCTCCATCATCAACGCCTTCACCTACCGATTCAGTTACAACTTCATCTCCTGCACCAACTACAACCAACAACACAGGTATCTGTTCCTGTTTGTACTTTTGCAGGACTTTTACTATGTTTACAAATACAAAAGTTGGGATGAAGCGATATATCGGTCGGCTGATATCAGAGGTGTGGACTCGAGTCACATGACTTGGACTCAAGTCAGACTCGAGTCATTATTTTAATGACTTCTGACTTGACTTGATATAATCTATAAAGACTTACGACTTGACTTGGATTTTCACGATAATGACTTGGGACTTGACTCGACTTGCATCTGTTGACTTGATGATGACTTGAACATTTAAAGTTAAGGAATTGGACTTAACAGACTTCCACATTATGGACTTTTAACTTGACTTGGACTTGGTTGTGTTTGACTTGGGCTTGGCTCGATACTTGAATGAAAAGACTTGTGACGTGCAAAGCAATGACTTGGTCACACCTCTGTTATAGTGTAAAAAAATGTAAAAATAACCACTTCTATTGTTTCTTCTGACTACAGCTGGATCCTTGCATTGTATGGCCTGCACAGATCAGACGTGTACAACCACAGCATTATCAGAATGTGGCTCAGAGACAATGTGCATTACTGCTTCCATTATAGGTATTCCTCTCTGTTTGTTAGATGATACTTTACAGAAAAGAGCAAAAGTTGAACAGCATAGGTTACCAGTTTTATTATCAACAATAACAAAGTGCCCCTTGACTCTACAGCCACTTCATCAGGAACTACTACTGAAAGAATCTACAAGGGCTGTGCACCATCCCACCTGTGCCAAGTTACAGGCATGCAGAACTTTTCAGCCAACTTGGGTTTCTCAAGCGTCCATGCATCCGCTCTGTGCTGCAACTCTGAGAACTGCAACTCCCAAAGTCTTCCCAGTACGCATAACTGCAATGAGCTCGGACAAGGTTCTGATCGTGGACTATTAAACCTGTCATTTTCGTTACTAAAGCCTTCTTTCCTTGTGTTGTAGTGCCCCAACCTCAGCCATCTAACAACCTGCAGTGTTTGAGTTGTGACCCTCAAACATCTAACTGTAGCACCATGGTAACGTGTTCAGGAGAGGAAAACAGCTGCTTGACAGCCACAGGTTGGTGTTCCTGTTAACTAGATGAGAAAATCTCACACACTTGTATTCTCATGGAAACACAACTCTACTCAGTGTCTAAACATTAGAAACAAAAACATTTAAATTCCTTTAAATTGAATTTTTTTTCCAAAATTAGGGTTATTGATGGAAGCTGTCATTTTTTACAGTGCAAACTGGACCTACAACCTATCCAGTGCATGGCTGTGTGACTAAAAATACATGTGAAGCAGGTAAGAACCTGCAGAGTCTACCTTTCATGGAAAATCTTGGTAACATCACCAGTGGACTAAGCTGTTGCGGACAAACTGGGTGTAACTCTTGGACACCAAATCCTCCATCATCAACGCCTTCACCTACCGATTCAGTTACAACTTCATCTCCTGCACCAACTACAACCAACAACACAGGTATCTGTTCCTGTTTGTACTTTTCTCGTACTTTTACTATGTTTACAAATACAAAAGTTGGGATGAAGCGATATATCGGTCGGCTGATATCAGAGGTGTGGACTCGAGTCACATGACTTGGACTCAAGTCAGACTCGAGTCATTATTTTAATGACTTCTGACTTGACTTGATAAAATTTGTAAAGACTTACGACTCGACTTGGACTTTAAGGCCAATGACTTGTGACTTGAATCGACTTGCACCTGTTGACGATGATGACTTCAGCATATTTGATATTTTAGCACAAAAGTGGCACGACATGGACAAGAATCATAAATCATTCTTAGTTCTGGGTTTGATTTACTGCTAAATGCAGCAGCACTTTGTTTATAATCTATTTCAGTTGCACTTTCTGCTTGTTTGAGCAAACAAACGAAGCTTTAAGAAGCTTTATTTCTGGAATTTATTTATTATCATTGTCATTAAATAGAAGTTGGACAGATGACTTGATTATGGCTTGAAATTTAAAGTTAAAGACTTGGACTTGACTTAGACTTACACATTATTGACTTTGAACTCGACTTGGACTTGGTTGTCTTTGACTTGGACTTGACTCGAGACTTGACTGGAAAGACTTGTGAATTCCTTGTGACTTGCAAGGAAGCGACTTGGTCACACCTCTGGCTGATATATAAGGCTGGTATTTACTGTTCTTGAAAGTTGGCATTGGCCGATATACCTCCTTAGTAAAACCGATTTCAAGTCAGGCACATTCCCAAACAGCCAGGTGCTGCTGCAGAATTTTATTTTTATATAAATTCATAACCCAGAATGATATCTGCATAATAAATGCTCTAAAATATTTTCAACTCAATTGTCTTTTGATTTACCAGTTTTAATGTTTAATACTTGGTCAGTTAATTGATTTGTTTAATTAGCTTTAATTAGATGACCCATTTTAACACTGAGCCGTGCACAAAATACAGATTTAACAATTGGTTAAATTCAGTGTTCAAAAACTGGTTCAGCATCAGAATATTTGTGCATCAGTTGATGTCAATAGTGACATTTTAGCATGAAAATAAGGTGGAAAGCTTCCAGATGTCTAAATGAAAATTCGACCCCACATATCAGCCATTGGCTGACCATAGCCTCGACACACTGACATCGGTATCGGCAGCAGAAATACCAAAACCGCTCAACCTCAACACAAAAATAACAGTTATAATGTAAAGAAAACCTTCAAAATAACCACTTCTATTGTTTCTTCTGACTACAGCTGGATCCTTGCATTGTATGGCCTGCACAGATCAGACGTGTACAACCACAGCATTATCAGAATGTGGCTCAGAGACAATGTGCATTACTGCTTCCATTATAGGTATTCCTCTCTGTTTGTTAGATGATACTTTACAGAAAAGAGCAAAAGTTGAACAGCATAGGTTACCAGTTTTATTATCAACAATAACAAAGTGCCCCTTGACTCTACAGCCACTTCATCAGGAACTACTACTGAAAGAATCTACAAGGGCTGTGCACCATCCCACCTGTGCCAAGTTACAGGCATGCAGAACTTTTCAGCCAACTTGGGTTTCTCAAGCATCCATGCATCCGCTCTGTGCTGCAACTCTGAGAACTGCAACTCCCAAAGTCTTCCCAGTACGCATAACTGCAATGAGCTTGGACAAGGTTCTGATCGTTGACTATTAAACCTGTCATTATCTTTACTAAAGCCTTCTTTCCTTGTGTTGTAGTGCCCCAACCTCAGCCATCTAACAACCTGCAGTGTTTGACTTGTAACCCTCAAACATCTAACTGTAGCACCATGGTAACGTGTTCAGGGGAGGAAAACAGCTGCTTGACAGCCACAGGTTGGTGTTCCTGTTAACTAGATCTCACACACTTGTATTCTTATGGAAAAACAACTCTACTCAGTGTCTAAACATTAGAAACAAAAACATGTAAATACATTTAAATAGAAATGTATTATCAAAACTAGGGTTATTGATGGAAGCTGTCATTTTTTACAGTGCAAAATGGACCTACAACCTATCCAGTGCATGGCTGTGTGACTAAAAATACATGTGAAGCAGGTAAGAACCTGCAGAGTCTACCTTTCATGGAAAATCTTGGTAACATCACCAGTGGACTAAGCTGTTGCGGACAAACTGGGTGTAACTCTTGGACACCAAATCCTCCATCATCAACGCCTTCACCTACCGATTCAGTTACAACTTCATCTCCTGCACCAACTACAACCAACAACACAGGTATCTGCTCCTGTTTGTACTTTTCTCGTACTTTTACTATGTTTACACATACAAAAGTAGGGATGAAGCGATATATCGGTCGGCTGATATCAGAGGTGTGGACTCTAGTCACATGACTTGGACTCAAGTCAGGCTCGAGTCATTATTTTAATGACTTCTGACTTGACTTGATAAAATTTGTAAAGACTTACGACTCGACTTGGACTTTAAGGCCAATGACTTGTGACTTGAATCGACTTGCATCTGTTGACGATGCTGACTTCAGCATATTTGATATTTTAGCACAAAAGTGGCACGACATGGACAAGAATCATAAATCATTCTTGGTTCTGGGTTTGATTTACTGCTAAATGCAGCAGCACTTTGTTTATAATCTATTTCAGTTGCACTTTCTGCTTGTTTGAGCAAACAAACGAAGCTTTAAGAAGTTTTTTTTTCTGGAATTTATTTATTATCATTGTCATTAAATTGAAGTTGGACAGATGACTTGATTATGGCTTGAAATTTAAAGTTAAGGACTTGGACTTGACTTAGACTTACACATTATTGACTTTGAACTCGACTTGGACTTGGTTGTCTTTGACTTGGACTTGACTCGAGACTTGATTGGAAATATTTGTGAATTCCTTGTGACTTGCAAGGAAGCGACTTGGTCACACCTCTGGCTGATATATAAGGCTGGTATTTACTGTTCTTGAAAGTTGGCATTGGCCGATATACCTCCTTAGTAAAACCGATTTCAAGTCAGGCACATTCCCAAACAGCCAGGTGCTGCTGCAGAATTTTATTTTTATATAAATTCATAACCCAGAATGATATCTGCATAATAAATGCTCTAAAATATTTTCAACTCAATTGTCTTTTTATTTAACAGTTTTAATGTTTAATACTTGGTCAGTTAATTGATTTGTTTAATTAGCTTTAATTAGATGACCGATTTTAACACTGAGCCGTGCACAAAATACAGATTTAACAATTGGTTAAATTCAGTGTTCAAAAACTGGTTCAGCTTCAGAATATTTGTGCATCATTTGATGTTATTAGTGACATTTTAGCATGAAAATAAGGTGGAAAGCTTCCAGATGTCTGAACGAAAATTCGACCCCACATATCAGCCGTTGGCTGACCATAGCCTCGACACACTAACATCGGTATCAGCAGCAGAAATACCAAAACCGCTCAACCTCAACACAAAAGTAACAGTTATAATGTAAAGAAACCCTTCAAAATAACCACTTCTGTTGTTTCTTCTGACTACAGCTGGATCCTTGCATTGTATGGCCTGCACAGATCAGACGTGTACAACCACAGAATTATCAGAATGTGGCTCAGAGACAATGTGCATTACTGCTTCCATTATAGGTATTCCTCTCTGTTTGTTAGATGATACTTTACAGAAAAGAGCAAAAGTTGAACAGCATAGGTTACCAGTTTTATTATCAACAATAACAAAGTGCCCCTTGACTCTACAGCCACTTCATCAGGAACTACTACTGAAAGAATCTACAAGGGCTGTGCACCATCCCACCTGTGCCAAGTTACAGGCATGCAGAACTTTTCAGCCAACTTGGGTTTCTCAAGCGTCCATGCATCCGCTCTGTGCTGCAACTCTGAGAACTGCAACTCCCAAAGTCTTCCCAGTACGCATAACTGCAATGAGCTCGGACAAGGTTCTGATCGTGGACTATTAAACCTGTCATTTTCGTTACTAAAGCCTTCTTTCCTTGTGTTGTAGTGCCCCAACCTCAGCCATCTAACAACCTGCAGTGTTTGACTTGTGACCCTCAAACATCTATCTGTAGCACCATGGTAACGTGTTCAGGAGAGGAAAGCAGCTGCTTGACAGCCACAGGTTGGTGTTCCTGTTAACTAGATCTCACACACTTGTATTCTTATGGAAAAACAACTCTACTCAGTGTCTAAACATTAGAAACAAAAACATGTAAATACCTTTCAATTGAAATGTGTTATCAAAACTAGGGTTATTGATGGAAGCTGTCATTTTTTACAGTGCAAAATGGACCTACAACCTATCCAGTGCATGGCTGTGTGACTAAAAATACATGTGAAGCAGGTAAGAACCTGCAGAGTCTACCTTTCATGGAAAATCTTGGTAACATCACCAGTGGACTAAGCTGTTGCGGACAAACTGGGTGTAACTCTTGGACACCAAATCCTCCATCATCAACGCCTTCACCTACCGATTCAGTTACAACTTCATCTCCTGCACCAACTACAACCAACAACACAGGTATCTGTTCCTGTTTGTACTTTTCCCGTACTTTTACTATGTTTACACATACAAAAGTAGGGATGAAGCGATATATCGATCGGCTGAAATCAGAAATGTGGTCTCGAGTCACATGACTTGGACTCAAGTCAGACCCGAGTCGTTATTTTAATGACTTCTGACTTGACATGATGAAATCTATAAAGACTTACGACTTGACTTGGACTTTAACGCCAATGACTTGTGACTTGAATCGACTTGCATCTGTTGACTCTGCTGACTTCAGCATATTTGATATTTTAGCACAAAAGTGGCACGACATGGACAAAAATCATAAATCATTCTTGGTTCTGGGTTTGATTTACTGCTAAATGCAGCAGCACTTTGTTTATAATCTATTTCAGTTGCACTTTCTGCTTGTTTGAGCAAACAAACGAAGCTTTAAGAAGCATTATTTCTGGAATTTATTTATTATCATTGTCATTAAATTAAGTTGGACAAATGACTTGATTATGGCTTGAAATTTAAAGTTAAGGACTTGGACTTGACTTAGACTTCCACATTATTGACTTTGAACTCGACTAGGACTTGGTTTTCTTTGACTTGGACTTGACTCGAGACTTGACTGGAAAGACTTGTGAATTCCTTGTGACTTGCAAGGAAGCGACTTGGTCACACCTCTGGCTGATATATAAGGCTGGTATTTACTGTTCTTGAAAGTTGGCATTGGCTGATATACCTCCTTAGTAAAACCGATTTCAAGTCAGGCACATTCCCAAACAGCCAGGTGCTGCTGCAGAATTTTATTTTTACGTAAATTCATAACCCAGAATGATATCTGCATAATAAATGCTCTAAAATATTTTCAACTCAATTGTCTTTTTATTTACCAGTTTTAATGTTAAATATTTGGTCAGTTAATTGATTTGTTTAATTAGCTTTAATTAGATGACCGATTTTAACACTGAGCCATGCACAAAATACAGATTTAACAATTGGTTAAATTCAGTGTTCAAAAACTGGTTCAGCTTCAGAATATTTGTGCATCAGTTGATGTTATTAGTGACATTTTAGCATGAAAATGAGGTGGAAAGCTTCCAGATGTCTAAATGAAAATTCGACCCCACATATCAGCCATTGGCTGACCATAGCCTCGACACACTGACATCGGTATCAGCAGCAGAAATACCAAAACTGCTCAACCTCAACACAAAAGTAACAGTTATAATGTAAAGAAAACCTTCAAAATAACCACTTCTGTTGTTTCTTCTGACTACAGCTGGATCCTTGCATTGTATGGCCTGCACAGATCAGACGTGTACAACCACAGCATTATCAGAATGTGGCTCAGAGACAATGTGCATTACTGCTTCCATTATAGGTATTCCTCTCTGTTTGTTAGATGATACTTTACAGAAAAGAGCAAAAGTTGAACAGCATAGGTTACCAGTTTTATTATCAACAATAACAAAGTGCCCCTTGACTCTACAGCCACTTCATCAGGAACTACTACTGAAAGAATCTACAAGGGCTGTGCACCATCCCACCTGTGCCAAGTTACAGGCATGCAGAACTTTTCAGCCAACTTGGGTTTCTCAAGCGTCCATGCATCCGCTCTGTGCTGCAACTCTGAAAACTGCAACTCCCAAAGTCTTCCCAGTACGCATAACTGCAATGAGCTCGGACAAGGTTCTGATCGTGGACTATTAAACCTGTCATTTTCTTTTCTAAAGTCTTTTTCCTTGTGTTGTAGTGCCCCAACCTCAGCCATCTAACAACCTGCAGTGTTTGACTTGTAACCCTCAAACATCTAACTGTAGCACCATGGTAACGTGTTCAGGGGAGGAAAACAGCTGCTTGACAGCCACAGGTTGGTGTTCCTGTTAACTAGATCTCACACACTTGTATTCTTATGGAAAAACAACTCTACTCAGTGTCTAAACATTAGAAACAAAAACATGTAAATACATTTAAATTGAAATGTATTATTAAAATTAGGGTTATTGATGGAAGCTGTCATTTTTTACAGTGCAAAATGGACCTACAACCTATCCAGTGCATGGCTGTGTGACTAAAAATACATTTGAAGCAGGTAAGAACCTGCAGAGTCTACCTTTCATGGAAAATCTTGGTAACATCACCAGTGGACTAAGCTGTTGCGGACAAACTGGGTGTAACTCTTGGACACCAAATCCTCCATCATCAACGCCTTCACCTACCGATTCAGTTACAACTTCATCTCCTGCACCAACTACAACCAACAACACAGGTATCTGTTCCTGTTTGTACTTTTCCTGTACTTTTACTATGTTTACACATACAAAAGTAGGGATGAAGCGATATATCGGTCGGCTGATATCAGAGGTGGGGACTCGAGTCACATTACTTGGATTCAAGTCAGACTCGAGTCATTATTTTAATGACTTCTGACTTGACTTGATATAATCTATAAAGACTTACGACTTGACTTGTATTTTCACGATAATGACTTGGGACTTGACTCGACTTGCATCTGTTGACTTGATGATGACTTGAACATTTAAAGTTAAGGAATTGGACTTAACAGACTTCCACATTATGGACTTTTAACTTGACTTGGACTTGGTTGTGTTTGACTTGGGCTTGGCTCGATACTTGAATGAAAAGACTTGTGACGTGCAAAGCAATGACTTGGTCACACCTCTGTTATAGTGTAAAAAAATGTAAAAATAACCACTTCTGTTGTTTCTTCTGACTACAGCTGGATCCTTGCATTGTATGGCCTGCACAGATCAGACGTGTACAACCACAGCATTATCAGAATGTGGCTCAGAGACAATGTGCATTACTGCTTCCATTATAGGTATTCCTCTCTGTTTGTTTGATGATACTTTACAGAAAAGAGCAAAAGTTGAACAGCATAGGTTACCAGTTTTATTATCAACAATAACAAAGTGCCCCTTGACTCTACAGCCACTTCATCAGGAACTACTACTGAAAGAATCTACAAGGGCTGTGCACCATCCCACCTGTGCCAAGTTACAGGCATGCAGAACTTTTCAGCCAACTTGGGTTTCTCAAGCATCCATGCATCCGCTCTGTGCTGCAACTCTGAGAACTGCAACTCCCAAAGTCTTCCCAGTACGCATAACTGCAATGAGCTTGGACAAGGTTCTGATCGTGGACTATTAAACCTGTCATTTTCTTTACTAAAGCCTTCTTTCCTTGTGTTGTAGTGCCCCAACCTCAGCCATCTAACAACCTGCAGTGTTTGACTTGTAACCCTCACACATCTAACTGTAGCACCATGGTAACGTGTTCAGGAGAGGAAAACAGCTGCTTGACAGCCACAGGTTGGTGTTCCTGTTAACTAGATCTCACACACTTGTATTCTTATGGAAAAACAACTCTACTCAGTGTCTAAACATTAGAAACAAAAACATGTAAATACATTTAAATAGAAATGTATTATCAAAACTAGGGTTATTGATGGAAGCTGTCATTTTTTACAGTGCAAACTGGACCTACAACCTATCCAGTGCATGGCTGTGTGACTAAAAATACATGTGAAGCAGGTAAGAACCTGCAGAGTCTACCTTTCATGGAAAATCTTGGTAACATCACCAGTGGACTAAGCTGTTGCGGACAAACTGGGTGTAACTCTTGGACACCAAATCCTCCATCATCAACGCCTTCACCTACCGATTCAGTTACAACTTCATCTCCTGCACCAACTACAACCAACAACACAGGTATCTGCTCCTGTTTGTACTTTTGCAGTACTTTTACTATGTTTACAAATACAAAAGTAGGGATGAAGCGATATATCGGTCGGCTGATATCAGAGGTGTGGACTCGAGTCACATGACTTGGACTCAAGTCAGACTCGAGTCATTATTTTAATGACTTCTGACTTGACTTGATAAAATTTGTAAAGACTTACGACTCGACTTGGACTTTAACGCCAATGACTTGTGACTCGAATCGACTTGCATCTGTTGACGAGGATGACTTCAGCATATTTGATATTTTAGCACAAAAGTGGCACGACATGGACAAAAATCATGAATCATTATTGGTTCTGGGTTTGATTTACTGCTAAATGCAGCAGCACTTTGTTTATAATCTATTTCAGTTGCACTTTCTGCTTGTTTGAGCAAACAAACGAAGCTTTAAGAAGTTTTATTTCTGGAATTTATTTATTATCATTGTCATTAAATAGAAGTTGGACAGATGACTTGATTATGGCTTGAAATTTAAAGTTAAGGACTTGGACTTGACTTAGACTTACACATTATTGACTTTGAACTCGACTTGGACTTGGTTGTCTTTGACTTGGACTTGACTCGAGACTTGACTGGAAAGACTTGTGAATTCCTTGTGACTTGCAAGGAAGCGACTTGGTCACACCTCTGGCTGATATATAAGGCTGGTATTTACTGTTCTTGAAAGTTGGCATTGGCCGATATACCTCCTTAGTAAAACCGATTTCAAGTCAGGCACATTCCCAAACAGCCAGGTGCTGCTGCAGAATTTTATTTTTACGTAAATTCATAACCCAGAATGATATCTGCATAATAAATGCTCTAAAATATTTTCAACTCAATTGTCTTTTGATTTACCAGTTTTAATGTTTAATACTTGGTCAGTTAATTGATTTGTTTAATTAGCTTTAATTAGATGACCCATTTTAACACTGAGCCGTGCACAAAATACAGATTTAACAATTGGTTAAATTCAGTGTTCAAAAACTGGTTCAGCTTCAGAATATTTGTGCATCAGTTGATGTCATTAGTGAAATTTTAGCATGAAAATAAGGTGGAAAGCTTCCAGATGTCTAAATGAAAATTCGACCCCACATATCAGCCATTGGCTGACCATAGCCTCGACACACTGACATCGGTATCGGCAGCAGAAATACCAAAACCGCTCAACCTCAACACAAAAGTAACAGTTATAATGTAAAGAAACCCTTCAAAATAACCACTTCTGTTGTTTCTTCTGACTACAGCTGGATCCTTGCATTGTATGGCCTGCGCAGATCAGACGTGTACAACCACAGCATTATCAGAATGTGGCTCAGAGACAATGTGCATTACTGCTTCCATTATAGGTATTCCTCTCTGTTTGTTAGATGATACTTTACAGAAAAGAGCAAAAGTTGAACAGCATAGGTTACCAGTTTTATTATCAACAATAACAAAGTGCCCCTTGACTCTACAGCCACTTCATCAGGAACTACTACTGAAAGAATCTACAAGGGCTGTGCACCATCCCACCTGTGCCAAGTTACAGGCATGCAGAACTTTTCAGCCAACTTGGGTTTCTCAAGCGTCCATGCATCTGCTCTGTGCTGCAACTCTGAGAACTGCAACTCCCAAAGTCTTCCCAGTACGCATAACTGCAATGAGCTCGGACAAGGTTCTGATCGTGGACTATTAAACCTGTCATTTTCGTTACTAAAGCCTTCTTTCCTTGTGTTGTAGTGCCCCAACCTCAGCCATCTAACAACCTGCAGTGTTTGAGTTGTGACCCTCAAACATCAAACTGTAGCACCATGGTAACGTGTTCAGGGGAGGAAAACAGCTGCTTGACAGCCACAGGTTGGTGTTTCTGTTAACTAGATCTCACACACTTGTATTCTTATGGAAAAACAACTCTACTCAGTGTCTAAACATTAGAAACAAAAACATGTAAATACCTTTAAATAGAAATGTATTATCAAAATTAGGGTTATTGATGGAAGCTGTCATTTTTTACAGTGCAAAATGGACCTACAACCTATCCAGTGCATGGCTGTGTGACTAAAAATACATGTGAAGCAGGTAAGAACCTGCAGAGTCTACCTTTCATGGAAAATCTTGGTAACATCACCAGTGGACTAAGCTGTTGTGGACAAACTGGGTGTAACTCTTGGACACCAAATCCTCCATCATCAACGCCTTCACCTACCGATTCAGTTACAACTTCATCTCCTGCACCAACTACAACCAACAACACAGGTATCTGCTCCTGTTTGTACTTTTCTCGTACTTTTACTATGTTTACACATACAAAAGTTGGGATGAAGCGATATATCGGTCGGCTGATATCAGAGGTGTGGACTCGAGTCACATGACTTGGACTCAAGTCAGGCTCGAGTCATTATTTTAATGACTTCTGACTTGACAAAATTTGTAAAGACTTACGACTCGACTTGGACTTTAACGCCAATGACTTGTGACTTGAATCGACTTGCACCTGTTGACGATGATGACTTCAGCATATTTGATATTTTAGCACAAAAGTCGCACGACATGGACAAAAATCATAAATCATTCTTGGTTCTGGGTTTGATTTACTGCTAAATGCAGCAGCACTTTGTTTATAATCTATTTCAGTTGCACTTTCTGCTTGTTTGAGCAAACAAACGAAGCTTTAAGAAGTTTTATTTCTGGAATTTATTTATTATCATTGTCATTAAACTGAAGTTGGACAGATGACTTGATTATGGCTTGAAATTTAAAGTTAAGGACTTGGACTTGACTTAGACTTACACATTATTGACTTTGAACTCGACTAGGACTTGGTTGTCTTTGACTTGGACTTGACTCGAGACTTGACTGGAAAGACTTGTGAATTCCTTGTGACTTGCAAGGAAGCGACTTGGTCACACCTCTGGCTGATATATAAGGCTGGTATTTACTGTTCTTGAAAGTTGGCATTGGCCGATATACCTCCTTAGTAAAACCGATTTCAAGTCAGGCACATTCCCAAACAGCCAGGTGCTGCTGCAGAATTTTATTTTTATGTAAATTCATAACCCAGAATGATATCTGCATAATAAATGCTCTAAAATATTTTCAACTCAATTGTCTTTTTATTTACCAGTTTTAATGTTTAATACTTGGTCAGTTAATTGATTTGTTTAATTAGCTTTAATTAGATGACCGATTTTAACACTGAGCCGTGCACAAAATACAGATTTAACAATTGGTTAAATTCAGTGTTCAAAAACTGGTTCAGCTTCAGAATATTTGTGCATCAGTTGATGTTATTAGTGACATTTTAGCATGAAAATAAGGTGGAAAGCTTCCAGATGTCTGAACGAAAATTCGACCCCACATATCAGCCGTTGGCTGACCATAGCCTCGACACACTAACATCGGTATCAGCAGCAGAAATACCAAAACCGCTCAACCTCAACACAAAAGTAACAGTTATAATGTAAAGAAACCCTTCAAAATAACCACTTCTATTGTTTCTTCTGACTACAGCTGGATCCTTGCATTGTATGGCCTGCACAGATCAGACGTGTACAACCACAGCATTATCAGAATGTGGCTCAGAGACAATGTGCATTACTGCTTCCATTATAGGTATTCCTCTCTGTTTGTTAGATGATACTTTACAGAAAAGAGCAAAAGTTGAACAGCATAGGTTACCAGTTTTATTATCAACAATAACAAAGTGCCCCTTGACTCTACAGCCACTTCATCAGGAACTACTACTGAAAGAATCTACAAGGGCTGTGCACCATCCCACCTGTGCCAAGTTACAGGCATGCAGAACTTTTCAGCCAACTTGGGTTTCTCAAGCGTCCATGCATCCGCTCTGTGCTGCAACTCTGAGAACTGCAACTCCCAAAGTCTTCCCAGTACGCATGACTGCAATGAGCTTGGACAAGGTTCTGATCGTGGACTATTAAACCTGTCATTTTCGTTACTAAAGCCTTCTTTCCTTGTGTTGTAGTGCCCCAACCTCAGCCATCTAACAACCTGCAGTGTTTGACTTGTGACCCTCAAACATCTAACTGTAGCACCATGGTAACGTGTTCAGGAGAGGAAAGCAGCTGCTTGACAGCCACAGGTTGGTGTTCCTGTTAACTAGATCTCACACACTTGTATTCTTATGGAAAAACAACTCTACTCAGTGTCTAAACATTAGAAACAAAAACATGTAAATACCTTTCAATTGAAATGTGGTATCAAAACTAGCATTATTGATGGAAGCTGTCATTTTTTACAGTGCAAAATGGACCTACAACCTATCCAGTGCATGGCTGTGTGACTAAAAATACATGTGAAGCAGGTAAGAACCTGCAGAGTCTACCTTTCATGGAAAATCTTGGTAACATCACCAGTGGACTAAGCTGTTGTGGACAAACTGGGTGTAACTCTTGGACACCAAATCCTCCATCATCAACGCCTTCACCTACCGATTCAGTTACAACTTCATCTCCTGCACCAACTACAACCAACAACACAGGTATCTGTTCCTGTTTGTACTTTTCCCGTACTTTTACTATGTTTACACATACAAAAGTAGGGATGAAGCGATATATCGATCGGCTGAAATCAGAAATGTGGTCTCAAATCACATGACTTGGACTCAAGTCAGACCCGAGTCGTTATTTTAATGACTTCTGACTTGACTTGATGAAATCTATAAAGACTTACGACTTGACTTGGACTTTAAGGCCAATGACTTGTGACTTGAATCGACTTGCACCTGTTGACTCTGCTGACTTCAGCATATTTGATATTTTAGCACAAAAGTGGCACGACATGGACAAGAATCATAAATCATTCTTGGTTCTGGGTTTGATTTACTGCTAAATGCAGCAGCACTTTGTTTATAATCTATTTCAGTTGCACTTTCTGCTTGTTTGAGCAAACAAACGAAGCTTTAAGAAGTTTTATTTCTGGAATTTATTTATTATCATTGTCCTTAAACTGAAGTTGGACAGATGACTTGATTATGGCTTGAAATTTAAAGTTAAGGACTTGGACTTGACTTAGACTTACACATTATTGACTTTGAACTCGACTTGGACTTGGTTGTCTTTGACTTGGACTTGACTCGAGACTTGACTGGAAAGACTTGTGAATTCCTTGTGACTTGCAAGGAAGCGACTTGGTCACACCTCTGGCTGATATATAAGGCTGGTATTTACTGTTCTTGAAAGTTGGCATTGGCCGATATACCTCCTTAGTAAAACCGATTTCAAGTCAGGCACATTCCCAAACAGCCAGGTGCTGCTGCAGAATTTTATTTTTACGTAAATTCATAACCCAGAATGATATCTGCATAATAAATGCTCTAAAATATTTTCAACTCAATTGTCTTTTTATTTACCAGTTTTAATGTTAAATATTTGGTCAGTTAATTGATTTGTTTAATTAGCTTTAATTAGATGACCGATTTTAACACTGAGCCGTGCACAAAATACAGATTTAACAATTGGTTAAATTCAGTGTTCAAAAACTGGTTCAGCTTCAGAATATTTGTGCATCAGTTGATGTCATTAGTGACATTTTAGCATGAAAATGAGGTGGAAAGCTTCCAGATGTCTAAATGAAAATTCGACCCCACATATCAGCCGTTGGCTGACCATAGCCTCGACACACTGACATCGGTATCAGCAGTAGAAATACCAAAACCGCTCAACCTCAACACAAAGTAACAGTTATAATGTAAAGAAAACCTTCAAAATAACCACTTCTGTTGTTTCTTCTGACTACAGCTGGATCCTTGCATTGTATGGCCTGCACAGATCAGATGTGTACAACCACAGCATTATCAGAATGTGGCTCAGAGACAATGTGCATTACTGCTTCCATTATAGGTATTCCTCTCTGTTTGTTTGATGATACTTTACAGAAAAGAGCAAAAGTTGAACAGCATAGGTTACCAGTTTTATTATCAACAATAACAAAGTGCCCCTTGACTCTACAGCCACTTCATCAGGAACTACTACTGAAAGAATCTACAAGGGCTGTGCACCATCCCACCTGTGCCAAGTTACAGGCATGCAGAACTTTTCAGCCAACTTGGGTTTCTCAAGCGTCCATGCATCCGCTCTGTGCTGCAACTCTGAGAACTGCAACTCCCAAAGTCTTCCCAGTACGCATAACTGCAATGAGCTCGGACAAGGTTCTGATCGTGGACTATTAAACCTGTCATTTTCTTTACTAAAGCCTTCTTTCCTTGTGTTGTAGTGCCCCAACCTCAGCCATCTAACAACCTGCAGTGTTTGACTTGTAACCCTCAAACATCTAACTGTAGCACCATGGTAACGTGTTCAGGGGAGGAAAACAGCTGCTTGACAGCCACAGGTTGGTGTTCCTGTTAACTAGATCTCACACACTTGTATTCTTATGGAAAAACAACTCTACTCAGTGTCTAAACATTAGAAACAAAAACATGTAAATACATTTAAATAGAAATGTATTATCAAAACTAGGGTTATTGATGGAAGCTGTCATTTTTTACAGTGCAAAATGGACCTACAACCTATCCAGTGCATGGCTGTGTGACTAAAAATACATGTGAAGCAGGTAAGAACCTGCAGAGTCTACCTTTCATGGAAAATCTTGGTAACATCACCAGTGGACTAAGCTGTTGCGGACAAACTGGGTGTAACTCTTGGACACCAAATCCTCCATCATCAACGCCTTCACCTACCGATTCAGTTACAACTTCATCTCCTGCACCAACTACAACCAACAACACAGGTATCTGCTCCTGTTTGTACTTTTCTCGTACTTTTACTATGTTTACACATACAAAAGTTGGGATGAAGCGATATATCGGTCGGCTGATATCAGAGGTGTGGACTCGAGTCACATGACTTGGACTCAAGTCAGGCTCGAGTCATTATTTTAATGACTTCTGACTTGACTTGATAAAATTTGTAAAGACTTACGACTCGACTTGGACTTTAAGGCCAATGACTTGTGACTTGAATCGACTTGCATCTGTTGACGATGATGACTTCAGCATATTTGATATTTTAGCACAAAAGTGGCACGACATGGACAAGAATCATAAATCATTCTTAGTTCTGGGTTTGATTTACTGCTAAATGCAGCAGCACTTTGTTTATAATCTATTTCAGTTGCACTTTCTGCTTGTTTGAGCAAACAAACGAAGCTTTAAGAAGTTTTATTTCTGGAATTTATTTATTATCATTGTCATTAAATTGAAGTTGGACAGATGACTTGATTATGGCTTGAAATTTAAAGTTAAGGACTTGGACTTGACTTAGACTTCCACATTATTGACTTTGAACTCGACTTGGACTTGGTTGTCTTTGACTTGGACTTGACTCGAGACTTGACTGGAAAGACTTTTGAATTCCTTGTGACTTGCAAGGAAGCGACTTGGTCACACCTCTGGCTGATATATAAGGCTGGTATTTACTGTTCTTGAAAGTTGGCATTGGCCGATATACCTCCTTAGTAAAACCGATTTCAAGTCAGGCACATTCCCAAACAGCCAGGTGCTGCTGCAGAATTTTATTTTTATGTAAATTCATAACCCAGAATGATATCTGCATAATAAATGCTCTAAAATATTTTCAACTCAATTGTCTTTTGATTTACCAGTTTTAATGTTTAATACTTGGTCAGTTAATTGATTTGTTTAATTAGCTTTAATTAGATGACCGATTTTAACACTGAGCCGTGCACAAAATACAGATTTAACAATTGGTTAAATTCAGTGTTCAAAAACTGATTCAGCTTCAGAATATTTGTGCATCAGTTGATGTTATTAGTGACATTTTAGCATGAAAATAAGGTGGAAAGCTTCCAGATGTCTAAATGAAAATTCGACCCCACATATCAGCCATTGGCTGACCATAGCCTCGACACACTGACATTGGTATCAGCAGCAGAAATACCAAAACTGCTCAACCTCAACACAAAAGTAACAGTTATAATGTAAAGAAACCCTTCAAAATAACCACTTCTGTTGTTTCTTCTGACTACAGCTGGATCCTTGCATTGTATGGCCTGCACAGATCAGACATGTACAACCACAGCATTATCAGAATGTGGCTCAGAGACAATGTGCATTACTGCTTCCATTATAGGTATTCCTCTCTGTTTGTTTGATGATACTTTACAGAAAAGAGCAAAAGTTGAACAGCATAGGTTACCAGTTTTATTATCAACAATAACAAAGTGCCCCTTGACTCTACAGCCACTTCATCAGGAACTACTACTGAAAGAATCTACAAGGGCTGTGCACCATCCCACCTGTGCCAAGTTACAGGCATGCAGAACTTTTCAGCCAACTTGGGTTTCTCAAGCGTCCATGCATCCGCTCTGTGCTGCAACTCTGAAAACTGCAACTCCCAAAGTCTTCCCAGTACGCATAACTGCAATGAGCTTGGACAAGGTTCTGATCGTGGACTATTAAACCTGTCATTTTCGTTACTAAAGCCTTCTTTCCTTGTGTTGTAGTGCCCCAACCTCAGCCATCTAACAACCTGCAGTGTTTGACTTGTAACCCTCAAACATCTAACTGTAGCACCATGGTAACGTGTTCAGGGGAGGAAAACAGCTGCTTGACAGCCACAGGTTGGTGTTCCTGTTAACTAGATCTCACACACTTGTATTCTTATGGAAAAACAACTCTACTCAGTGTCTAAACATTAGAAACAAAAACATGTAAATACATTTAAATTGAAATTTATTATTAAAACTAGGGTTATTGATGGAAGCTGTTATTTTTTACAGTGCAAAATGGACCTACAACCTATCCAGTGCATGGCTGTGTGACTAAAAATACATGTGAAGCAGGTAAGAACCTGCAGAGTCTACCTTTCATGGAAAATCTTGGTAACATCACCAGTGGACTAAGCTGTTGTGGACAAACTGGGTGTAACTCTTGGACACCAAATCCTCCATCATCAACGCCTTCACCTACCGATTCAGTTACAACTTCATCTCCTGCACCAACTACAACCAACAACACAGGTATCTGCTCCTGTTTGTACTTTTCCTGTACTTTTACTATGTTTACACATACAAAAGTAGGGATGAAGCGATATATCGGTCGGCTGATATCAGAGGTGGGGACTCGAGTCACATTACTTGGATTCAAGTCAGACTCGAGTCATTATTTTAATGACTTCTGACTTGACTTGATATAATCTATAAAGACTTACGACTTGACTTGTATTTTCACGATAATGACTTGGGACTTGACTCGACTTGCATCTGTTGACTTGATGATGACTTGAACATTTAAAGTTAAGGAATTGGACTTAACAGACTTCCACATTATGGACTTTTAACTTGACTTGGACTTGGTTGTGTTTGACTTGGGCTTGGCTCGATACTTGAATGAAAAGACTTGTGACGTGCAAAGCAATGACTTGGTCACACCTCTGTTATAGTGTAAAAAAATGTAAAAATAACCACTTCTGTTGTTTCTTCTGACTACAGCTGGATCCTTGCATTGTATGGCCTGCACAGATCAGACGTGTACAACCACAGCATTATCAGAATGTGGCTCAGAGACAATGTGCATTACTGCTTCCATTATAGGTATTCCTCTCTGTTTGTTAGATGATACTTTACAGAAAAGAGCAAAAGTTGAACAGCATAGGTTACCAGTTTTATTATCAACAATAACAAAGTGCCCCTTGACTCTACAGCCACTTCATCAGGAACTACTACTGAAAGAATCTACAAGGGCTGTGCACCATCCCACCTGTGCCAAGTTACAGGCATGCAGAACTTTTCAGCCAACTTGGGTTTCTCAAGCGTCCATGCATCCGCTCTGTGCTGCAACTCTGAGAACTGCAACTCCCAAAGTCTTCCCAGTACGCATAACTGCAATGAGCTCGGACAAGGTTCTGATCGTGGACTATTAAACCTGTCATTTTCGTTACTAAAGCCTTCTTTCCTTGTGTTGTAGTGCCCCAACCTCAGCCATCTAACAACCTGCAGTGTTTGAGTTGTGACCCTCAAACATCTAACTGTAGCACCATGGTAACGTGTTCAGGAGAGGAAAACAGCTGCTTGACAGCCACAGGTTGGTGTTCCTGTTAACTAGATCTCACACACTTGTATTCTTATGGAAACACAACTCTACTCAGTGTCTAAACATTAGAAACAAAAACATTTAAATTCCTTTAAATTGAATTTTTTTTTCAAAATTAGGGTTATTGATGGAAGCTGTCATTTTTTACAGTGCAAACTGGACCTACAACCTATCCAGTGCATGGCTGTGTGACTAAAAATACATGTGAAGCAGGTAAGAACCTGCAGAGTCTACCTTTCATGGAAAATCTTGGTAACATCACCAGTGGACTAAGCTGTTGCGGACAAACTGGGTGTAACTCTTGGACACCAAATCCTCCATCATCAACGCCTTCACCTACCGATTCAGTTACAACTTCATCTCCTGCACCAACTACAACCAACAACACAGGTATCTGCTCCTGTTTGTACTTTTCTCGTACTTTTACTATGTTTACAAATACAAAAGTTGGGATGAAGCGATATATCGGTCGGCTGATATCAGAGGTGTGGACTCGAGTCACATGACTTGGACTCAAGTCAGACTCGAGTCATTTTAATGACTTCTGACTTGACTTGATAAAATTTGTAAAGACTTACGACTCGACTTGGACTTTAAGGCCAATGACTTGTGACTTGAATCGACTTGCACCTGTTGACGATGATGACTTCAGCATATTTGATATTTTAGCACAAAAGTGGCACGACATGGAAAATAATCATAAATCATTATTGGTTCTGGGTTTGATTTACTGCTAAATGCAGCAGCACTTTGTTTATAATCTATTTCAGTTGCACTTTCTGCTTGTTTGAGCAAACAAACGAAGCTTTAAGAAGCTTTATTTCTGGAATTTATTTATTATCATTGTCATTAAATAGAAGTTGGACAGATGACTTGATTATGGCTTGAAATTTAAAGTTAAGGACTTGGACTTGACTTAGACTTACACATTATTGACTTTGAACTCGACTTGGACTTGGTTGTCTTTGACTTGGACTTGACTCGAGACTTGACTGGAAAGACTTGTGAATTCCTTGTGACTTGCAAGGAAGCGACTTGGTCACACCTCTGGCTGATATATAAGGCTGGTATTTACTGTTCTTGAAAGTTGGCATTGGCCGATATACCTCCTTAGTAAAACCGATTTCAAGTCAGGCACATTCCCAAACAGCCAGGTGCTGCTGCAGAATTTTATTTTTATATAAATTCATAACCCAGAATGATATCTGCATAATAAATGCTCTAAAATATTTTCAACTCAATTGTCTTTTTATTTACCAGTTTTAATGTTTAATACTTGGTCAGTTAATTGATTTGTTTAATTAGCTTTAATTAGATGACCCATTTTAACACTGAGCCGTGCACAAAATACAGATTTAACAATTGGTTAAATTCAGTGTTCAAAAACTGATTCAGCTTCAGAATATTTGTGCATCAGTTGATGTCATTAGTGACATTTTAGCATGAAAATAAGGTGGAAAGCTTCCAGATGTCTAAATGAAAATTCGACCCCACATATCAGCCATTGGCTGACCATAGCCTCGACACACTGACATCGGTATCGGCAGCAGAAATACCAAAACCGCTCAACCTCAACACAAAAATAACAGTTATAATGTAAAGAAAACATTCAAAATAACCACTTCTATTGTTTCTTCTGACTACAGCTGGATCCTTGCATTGTATGGCCTGCACAGATCAGACGTGTACAACCACAGCATTATCAGAATGTGGCTCAGAGACAATGTGCATTACTGCTTCCATTATAGGTATTCCTCTCTGTTTGTTAGATGATACTTTACAGAAAAGAGCAAAAGTTGAACAGCATAGGTTACCAGTTTTATTATCAACAATAACAAAGTGCCCCTTGACTCTACAGCCACTTCATCTGGAACTACTACTGAAAGAATCTACAAGGGCTGTGCACCATCCCACCTGTGCCAAGTTACAGGCATGCAGAACTTTTCAGCCAACTTGGGTTTCTCAAGCATCCATGCATCTGCTCTGTGCTGCAACTCTGAGAACTGCAACTCCCAAAGTCTTCCCAGTACGCATAACTGCAATGAGCTTGGACAAGGTTCTAATCGTGGACTATTAAACCTGTCATTTTCGTTACTAAAGCCTTCTTTCCTTGTGTTGTAGTGCCCCAACCTCAGCCATCTAACAACCTGCAGTGTTTGACTTGTAACCCTCAAACATCTAACTGTAGCACCATGGTAACGTGTTCAGGAGAGGAAAACAGCTGCTTGACAGCCACAGGTTGGTGTTCCTGTTAACTAGATCTCACACACTTGTATTCTTATGGAAAAACAACTCTACTCAGTGTCTAAACATTAGAAACAAAAACATGTAAATACCTTTAAATTGAAATGTGTTATCAAAACTAGGGTTATTGATGGAAGCTGTCATTTTTTACAGTGCAAAATGGACCTACAACCTATCCAGTGCATGGCTGTGTGACTAAAAATACATGTGAAGCAGGTAAGAACCTGCAGAGTCTACCTTTCATGGAAAATCTTGGTAACATCACCAGTGGACTAAGCTGTTGCGGACAAACTGGGTGTAACTCTTGGACACCAAATCCTCCATCATCAACGCCTTCACCTACCGATTCAGTTACAACTTCATCTCCTGCACCAACTACAACCAACAACACAGGTATCTGCTCCTGTTTGTACTTTTCCCGTACTTTTACTATGTTTACAAATACTAAAGTAGGGATGAAGCGATATATCGGTCGGCTGATATCAGAGGTGTGGACTCGAGTCACATGACTTGGACTCAAGTCAGGCTCGAGTCATTATTTTACTGACTTCTGACTTGACAAAATTTGTAAAGACTTACGACTCGACTTGGACTTTAACGCCAATGACTTGTGACTTGAATCGACTTGCACCTGTTGACGATGATGACTTCAGCATATTTGATATTTTAGCACAAAAGTGGCACGACATGGACACAAATCATAAATCATTCTTGGTTCTGGGTTTGATTTACTGCTAAATGCAGCAGCACTTTGTTTATAATCTATTTCAGTTGCACTTTCTGCTTGTTTGAGCAAACAAACGAAGCTTTAAGAAGCATTATTTCTGGAATTTATTTATTATCATTGTCATTAAATAGAAGTTGGACAGATGACTTGATTATGGCTTGAAATTTAAAGTTAAGGACTTGGACTTGACTTAGACTTACACATTATTGACTTTGAACTCGACTTGGACTTGGTTGTCTTTGACTTGGACTTGACTCGAGACTTGACTGGAAAGACTTGTGAATTCCTTGTGACTTGCAAGGAAGCGACTTGGTCACACTTCTGGCTGATATATAAGGCTGGTATTTACTGTTCTTGAAAGTTGGCATTGGCCGATATACCTCCTTAGTAAAACCGATTTCAAGTCAGGCACATTCCCAAACAGCCAGGTGCTGCTGCAGAATTTTATTTTTACGTAAATTCATAACCCAGAATGATATCTGCATAATAAATGCTCAAAAATATTTTCAACTCAATTGTCTTTTGATTTACCAGTTTTAATGTTTAATACTTGGTCAGTTAAATGATTTGTTTAATTGGCTTTAATTAGATGACCGATTTTAACACTGAGCCGTGCACAAAATACAGATTTAACAATTGGTTAAATTCAGTGTTCAAAAACTGGTTCAGCATCAGAATATTTGTGCATCAGTTGATGTTATTAGTGACATTTTAGCATGAAAATAAGGTGGAAAGCTTCCAGATGTCTAAATGAAAATTCGACCCCACATATCAGCCATTGGCTGACCATAGCCTCGACACACTGACATCGGTATCGGCAGTAGAAATACCGAAACCGCTCAACCTCAACACAAAAGTAACAGTTATAATGTAAAGAAAACCTTCAAAATAACCACTTCTGTTGTTTCTTCTGACTACAGCTGGATCCTTGCATTGTATGGCCTGCGCAGATCAGACGTGTACAACCACAGAATTATCAGAATGTGGCTCAGAGACAATGTGCATTACTGCTTCCATTATAGGTATTCCTCTCTGTTTGTTAGATGATACTTTACAGAAAAGAGCAAAAGTTGAACAGCATAGGTTACCAGTTTTATTATCAACAATAACAAAGTGCCCCTTGACTCTACAGCCACTTCATCAGGAACTACTACTGAAAGAATCTACAAGGGCTGTGCACCATCCCACCTGTGCCAAGTTACAGGCATGCAGAACTTTTCAGCCAACTTGGGTTTCTCAAGCATCCATGCATCTGCTCTGTGCTGCAACTCTGAGAACTGCAACTCCCAAAGTCTTCCCAGTACGCATAACTGCAATGAGCTTGGACAAGGTTCTGATCGTGGACTATTAAACCTGTCATTATCTTTACTAAAGCCTTCTTTCCTTGTGTTGTAGTGCCCCAACCTCAGCCATCTAACAACCTGCAGTGTTTGACTTGTGACCCTCAAACATCTAACTGTAGCACCATGGTAACGTGTTCAGGGGAGGAAAACAGCTGCTTGACAGCCACAGGTTGGTGTTCCTGTTAACTAGATGAGAAAATCTCACACACTTGTATTCTTATGGAAAAACAACTCTACTCAGTGTCTAAACATTAGAAACAAAAACATGTAAATACATTTAAATAGAAATGTATTATCAAAACTAGGGTTATTGATGGAAGCTGTCATTTTTTACAGTTCAAAATGGACCTACAACCTATCCAGTGCATGGCTGTGTGACTAAAAATACATGTGAAGCAGGTAAGAACCTGCAGAGTCTACCTTTCATGGAAAATCTTGGTAACATCACCAGTGGACTAAGCTGTTGCGGACAAACTGGGTGTAACTCTTGGACACCAAATCCTCCATCATCAACGCCTTCACCTACCGATTCAGTTACAACTACATCTCCTGCACCAACTACAACCAACAACACAGGTGTCTGCTCCTGTTTGTACTTTTGCAGTACTTTTACTATGTTTACATATACTAAAGTAGGGATGAAGCGATATATCGGTCGGCTGATATCAGAGGTGTGGACTCGAGTCACATGACTTGGACTCAAGTCAGGCTCGAGTCATTATTTTAATGACTTCTGACTTGACTTGATAAATTCTATAAAAACGTATGACTCGACTTGGACTTTAATGGCAATGACTTGTGACTTGAATCGACTTGCATCTGTTGACGATGATGACTTCAGCATATTTGATATTTTAGCACAAAAGTGGCACGACATGGACAAAAATCATAAATCATTCTTGGTTCTGGGTTTGATTTACTGCTAAATGCAGCAACACTTTGTTTATAATCTATTTCAGTTGCACTTTCTGCTTGTTTGAGCAAACAAACGAAGCTTTAAGAAGTTTTATTTCTGGAATTTATTTATTATCATTGTCATTAAATTGAAGTTGGACAGATGACTTGATTATGGCTTGAAATTTAAAGTTAAGGACTTGGACTTGACTTAGACTTCCACATTATTGACTTTGAACTTGACTTGGACTTGGTTGTCTTTGACTTGGACTTGACTCGAGACTTGACTGGAAAGACTTGTGAATTCCTTGTGACTTGCAAGGAAGCGACTTGGTCACACCTCTGGCTGATATATAAGGCTGGTATTTACTGTTCTTGAAAGTTGGCATTGGCCGATATACCTCCTTAGTAAAACCGATTTCAAGTCAGGCACATTCCCAAACAGCCAGGTGCTGCTGCAGAATTTTATTTTTATGTAAATTCATAACCCAGAATGATATCTGCATAATAAATGCTCTAAAATATTTTCAACTCAATTGTCTTTTTATTTAACAGTTTTAATGTTTAATACTTGGTCAGTTAATTGATTTGTTTAATTTGCTTTAATCAGATGACCGATTTTAACACCGAGCCGTGCACAAAATACAGATTTAACAATTGGTTAAATTCAGTGTTCAAAAACTGGTTCAGCTTCAGAATATTTGTGCATCAGTTGATGTTATTAGTGAAATTTTAGCATGAAAATAAGGTGGAAAGCTTCCAGATGTCTAAATGAAAATTCGACCCCACATATCAGCCGTTGGCTGACCATAGCCTCGACACACTGACATCAGTATCGGCAGCAGAAATACCAAAACCGCTCAACCTCAACACAAAAATAACAGTTATAATGTAAAGAAAACCTTCAAAATAACCACTTCTGTTGTTTCTTCTGACTACAGCTGGATCCTTGCATTGTATGGCCTGCACAGATCAGACGTGTACAACCACAGCATTATCAGAATGTGGCTCAGAGACAATGTGCATTACTGCTTCCATTATAGGTATTCCTCTCTGTTTGTTAGATGATACTTTACAGAAAAGAGCAAAAGTTGAACAGCATAGGTTACCAGTTTTATTATCAACAATAACAAAGTGCCCCTTGACTCTACAGCCACTTCATCTGGAACTACTACTGAAAGAATCTACAAGGGCTGTGCACCATCCCACCTGTGCCAAGTTACAGGCATGCAGAACTTTTCAGCCAACTTGGGTTTCTCAAGCGTCCATGCATCCGCTCTGTGCTGCAACTCTGAGAACTGCAACTCCCAAAGTCTTCCCAGTACGCATAACTGCAATGAGCTTGGACAAGGTTCTGATCGTGGACTATTAAACCTGTCATTTTCTTTTCTAAAGTCTTTTTCCTTGTGTTGTAGTGCCCCAACCTCAGCCATTCAACAAACTGCAGTGTTTGACTTGTGACCCTCAAACATCTAACTGTAGCACCATGGTAACGTGTTCAGGAGAGGAAAACAGCTGCTTGACAGCCACAGGTTGGTGTTCCTGTTAACTAGATCTCACACACTTGTATTCTTATGGAAAAACAACTCTACTCAGTGTCTAAACATTAGAAACAAAAACATGTAAATGTCTTTAAACTGAAATGTATTAACAAAACTGGGGTTATTGATGGAAGCTTATTTTTTTACAGTGCAATCTGGATCTAAAACCAATCCAGTGCATGGCTGTGTGACTGAAATTACATGTAAAGCAGGTAAAAACCTGCAGAGTCTACCTTTCATGGAAAATCTTGGTCACATCCCCAGTGGACTAAGCTGTTGTGGACAAAGTGGGTGTAACCGTAAAACAACAAATCCTCCATCATCATCAACAGCACCAGCTGAAACTCCTTTAGTGTCATCTCAGAGACCAGTAGTTCCAACCACTACATCAGCTAGACCAACAACAGGAAATGGTAAATCAACCACTCCATTGTCTTCACCCATGATTCTTGCACAAGGAGGAGCAACTACAACTACACTAACACAACAAACAACTAAGAGTAATGCCAATAGAGTCATTTTTGACACTATTAATTTGCTTCTTGTGGTATTTATCTTTTTCTTATAAATAACTCTAGTAGTGTATAACAACAGTGGAGAAGTCACTGTACCATAAAAGCATATTTAAAATGGTCTAAATGGGGATTGAGCACATAAAAGCAGTTCTTTGTGATTCATTTATATTAACATTTTAATTTAAAGCCATTAATTTAAATAATATTTAAGAAATTAATTGAAAAACTACCATTATGCTCTGCATTTCTTCTATACTGTATGCTGTCATTCAATGCTATAAATAAAGATTTCAAAATTGTATGCATTTCTTTTAATTAAGCGCTTGTAAAATACAAAAACATCACATTTCTTTTTATTCTGTTAAATCTGTTTTTTTTTGTGCAGATTACTCCCAGGTTTTGCAAAATAACACAAACAGGAAAGGTTGAAAGTCATTGTGAGATGTTTTAGAGTGATTTATTTATTATTTATGAACCACCGATTATAATGATCTAACCATTAACTGTTAGGCCTGATTCAAAAGTCAAATTTAAACAATTTTACAAAACTTTTTGAGGAAAGGTTTCTAGGATTCACTCGTTATCTATTTTATCATAGTTCTATTTTGGCGTTATGTTCTGGTATTTAACCTTGTCTTTGTTTTAAAAACCACCGATGGTTCCCAAGTAATATCAGTTGTACTGTCATTTTCAACTTCAAGCTATTTAAAATAAAAATTATACACCATATTGCATTTGATTTGTTTTCATTTGTTCTAAACTATGGCTACATTTGCTAGTCAAAGCGTCTGGTTTGTTGACAGAGTTTTTGTGTTTTTCTAATTTTCTAAAATTTCTATTTTCATTGCAACGATTCATGGGTCAGATTTTAGTTAATTAAACTGACATTTATCACTAAATGATCAAACACCACAACAAAAAAAAAAAGAGTAAAAATTCAGCCAGTGTTAAAAATGTTTTTAGCTCACTATCTGTGCCAGGGTGGTGGTTGAGCCTGGCAAGGCCCCAGGGATCTTGTGGTTCTGGCAGTTGCAAGCTGGATGGGGGACAGTCGGGAACCTGCGCCCCCAGTTAATGTTGTAGCCTCTGCTGCGCCTCTCCCCTCAGGCATACAACAACAGAGATTTGGGGGTTAAGGCCTGGCAAGGGCAAGGAGGTTAAACGTGTAGGGCTGCAAAACAGTGGCCTCGTCCTTTGGCTTCCGGCTTCCACCAATCAGCGCGGGGCTATAACGCGTCAAATATTGGTGTGTCTGCAGAGCCGGAAAACTCCTCGGTCTCCTCTCGTGTTTACAGTCAGATCTCTGAAACAAACAAAGCTAGGTTTATGAAACTCATGTCACAAGGTTGACTAGTTGTGCTAAATAAGGATTCATGTGTTGCAAATGTTAAACCCTATGAAGTTGGTGAAATCTCAGCATGAAAATCAAATCTGCCATATTTGAACATGTGCCATAAACAAGTAAAAGAAATTATTAATATTTGTTGGTAAATTCAGTTGTTTTTTAGACATAATCTTAACATTCATGTTTGTTCTGTGTGGGTTAGGGTTAATTATTAGAAATTATTATAGAACACCAGAAATAACAGAGTATATGTGAAAATATTTCTAAATATTGTAATGATCCATAAGGACTTTTAGTGCTTGCTGTTGTAGCCTTATGTTACTTTTCCTTTGTCGCTTTGCTGGTTGAAAAGTGAAAATGAAACTGGTGATGCTGGTTTATCTCATAATGTCAGTGTGTAGAGATCCCACCTCAGAGTACAGAGTGTCAGCTGGAGTCTCTGAGCCACCATCAACTCTCCCTGTGACAGGGTGTGGAGTCATTTGTGGAGCATCCTTGCCAGCATCAGCTCCGCCTGGATTGGGAGGGTCCCCCGATCCCTGCAGGGTCTGAGCTGTCGAGGCCACAGAGGCTCTGTGGACATCACTGATCTTAGAGATGCTGGTTTCTCCCATCAGTCCGAAGCACGAGCGGCCAACACCTGAAAGAGAGATGACACGAGCACAAGATAGAGCACGCAGCTCTGGCACTGAGTCAAAACCCTGTGAAAGATGTTGAAAAGCTTTTGGGTCAAAAGGGTTCAAGATCATCCCGCTGACAGCAGGATGCTGGACCTGAAGACTGACAAGGTCATTTACAGAAAAGCCAAGTTGAACAGACACAAACCCTTCTGGTGGTTTTAAGATGGGGTCATCAGGGGGCCACAAGGGTTTCAGGGCCCATGATGTGTCCACCATCTCACCCCGAGAGGCAAGCTGGTCTGTACAAGCGATGAAATGGCCGTTGAGGAAGTTCTCTGGCGGAAGTTGAGTGTCAAAGCTGAGATTCTGGCCATCCATGTAACTGGTGAGGTGTTCACCTCCACATGGTGGAAAGAGAAAGATTATTGCAATCAGGATAACTTAACACAAGCTGTTGTTAGTCTCGGTCGACTACTGAGGTAGGAGCTTCAGCTATGTTAGAGAAATCAGCAGACTGTGACTGTAATGGTAGCTGAATCTGTGGTGGCAAAAGTTCTGAACCAGGTGGTGAACATGGTGTCCCCACCTGCTCAGAGCTACCAACCGTGAGACAGTGGAGGTCCGTAGGCAGGGCCGCAGTCAAAGGCAGGTCCCCCTCTGACCAGAGCTCTCCCTTTTCCTCATCAATGAAAGCATTAATGCGGCTCAGAAAGTCCATGCCAAGGGTGAAAGCCATCCTTGCATGGTCAGAGATGTAAATCAGGTGTGTCAGAGTCACGGGACCGAGTGATATCTGGAGATCGAACCTAGCAGACAAGATTAAGTCATGAGAGGATGTCCTGTCAATTACAGAACATGATGTGATTTCTGAGGGCCTGACCCCCCTCCACAAGAAATGCAAATGCGATCGAACATGGCTCGTGTTACCAGTGTAAAGTCTGAACTTGTGTCAAGAAGTGCGTCGCAGAATAGATTCTGGGTCAGCTTGACTGACACCAGTGATTTACCACCTTTCTCCTAGGGCACTAGGTGTCCTCCTGGCTGGCTCGCCAATTATGTAGGGTTAATTACATACTAGAATCAAAACTGTTGCTATTCAGTTTGAGATTCTGAGAAGGACCGAGCATATTAGCATATGAGCTTATATCATGTATAAATATCCAAGATACTTATATAATCAATAGAAGCTCATACACCAATTCACTTGGTCTATTTTTAATCCAAAGATTACTGTTTAATTTAAGATAATTAAATTTAATAGCAAAAGTTTATTTTGAATCAGAAGCTAGGAATCTTTGCTTTTCAATAACCAGAAATATTATACCTTTCTGTGTTTCATTTCAATAATGAGGCAAGTTTAAAAATGAAGAATTTTATTACTAACAATTTTTTAACTTTAAGATTTGAATGACAATTCATGGATGACAATGTGATGACAATTTTTAACAGCTTTGATATTAAACTTGTTTTAAAAGCAAACCTGTGGCTGGATGAAAGCTAAATTGACAATATGAGTTTGGATGTGTGAATGGAATTCTCAGATTTCTTTCAGAGAGAGGAAAGTGTTCTGAGCTGGAAATGATGTTTTGTGGCTACCTGAGTCGTTCACTTAGAGAAAACAGCATCAAACACATTCCTGTGTGCTACCTCACCCAAACAGGAGACCCTCTTTGTGGATCCGGAGATCTGGAGAATGGTGTCCATCCAGGGTACTCGGTCCCGTAGAGAAGACGCGAGTGAACCGATCCTCTGGTTAATGGGCAATTTTATAATTAATTCACTACACCCAATGAGTAATCTAAAAAGTACCTTGATGGAGAACACTAACACTTTAGCACGGGTTAGAAATTATAGTTTTAAACTTTTTCATCCAGAGATGTCCCGGGTACACAGCGTCGAGCGTTTGGCTTAACTCTGAAGAAGTTTCTCATCTTAACTTAACTCAGAAATCAATAACTTCTGGATGGAGTTTTTCGTCAGCTGGTTACAGTTTACGTTTATTCTTAGCTATTCTTGTCGGCGTGGCAGAACAGCCTGGCAGAGGGTCAGGGCGGCCGTTCCCGTCTCCTCAGGATGGTGTTGGTTCAAGAACTGACGTGAAAGCTCCATGCCGTCGTTCTTTTTTTAAAACACAGAAACAGTTTCGTTACCTGTTTTTCCGCTACGTTTCGTCTGCGGCTGCAGACTTCCTCAGGCTGACGCTGATGGTGGCGTCACTTCCTTCTCCGTTTATCCGCGGGCAGCAGAGGACGTTGTCGCCCTCTGCTGCCCGCTCTCCCCTCTCCGATGATGCAGTCCCATGCGCGGTCCAACGTGTAAACTCCATCGTCCCTGTTCATGGTCCCACATCCACGTCTCCTTATCTCGATTGCTTCTTTTATCCATCTTTTGTATTTTTGTTGTTCGGTGTCTATGATCCTTGTGTTGTCCCAGTCCATTATATGGTTTTCTCTTATGCAGTGATCTGTTACGGCTGACTTCTTTGTTGTACTTTCTGCTTCTTCTTTTGCTGCTCTTGTGTGTTTTTGATTTGCCTCTTTCTCGCACTCCTTTCTATGTTCTATTGTTCGTGTGTTGAGTTGGCGTCCGGTTTCTCCTATGTATGTTTTATTGCAAAGTTTGCATGGGATTTCGTAAATGACTCCACATTTAAGTCCAGCTGATATTTTGTCTTTTGGGTGTACTAGTCTGTTTCTAACTGTTGTGTATGGTTTTGTTGGTGTGTTTTTTCATTGTTGCTCTTATTTTTTCTGTTATGCCTCTGATGTATGGTAGGGTTATCACTGGTTTTGGTTCTTGTCTTTCTGGGTTTCTGGTTCTTTGCTTAGGTTGTTCTTTTCTTTCGGTTTTTGTTTGCCGTTTGCCTTTGTTTATTGCCCATGTCGGGTATCCGCAGGTCTTTAAAGCGTGTTGTATGTGTTCGTCCTCTTGTTTACGGTCTCTTTCTTCTATTATTATGTTTGTTCGATGATATAGTGTTCTGATTACTGACATTTTGTGTATGGTGGGGTGTTCTGATGTCCATAATAGATATTGGTCTGTGTGTGTTGGTTTCCTATATGTGTTTATGTTTAGGGTCCCGTCGGTCTGCCTGGTTATTTTCATATCCATAAATGCTATGCTGCCTTCTGTTTCTCACTCATAAGTGAATTTTATGCTGCCTGTGTCGTCAATGTTATTCAAGTGTTGTGCTAGTGTTTCTGTTTGTCCTTTTGGTATGATTTCCAGTATGTCGTCTACGTAGCGTTTCCATAGTTTTATTTTGCAGTTTGGGGGGGGGGGGGGGGGGGGGGCAGTGGCTATGGCTTTTTGCTCTAGGTCTTCCATGAAAAACTCGCACAGGGTGGCTGATAACGGGTTACCCATGGCGAAGCCTTCCAGTTGTTTGTATATTGTGTTGTCATATGTGAAGTAAGTGGAGTTAGCTACCAGTTCTATCAGTTGTGCTATGTCGTCTGCTGTGAGGTTTGTTCTTTTGTGTAAAGTCTTGTCCTGTCTGATTCTGTTAACTACTACGTCTATGGTTTTTTGGGTTGGTGTTTTTGTGAACAGGGAAGGATCTGACGTCATGTGAGATGAGTATGTCGTTGTCTTCTATTGTAATCTCCTTTAGTTCTTTTGCCAGTTCTATGCTGTTTTTGCAGTGTTGATCTGTGTTACCTAATAACGGGCTGATGATTTTGCTGATATCGCTTGCCATATTGTATGATGGTGTACCTATGCTGTCAACTATTGGTCTAAGTGGGGTGTTTTGTTTGTGTATT